ACATTTTCAAGATCAAAATGTTAATACAGTTCAGTGGTTTGATTTAAATTAAAACAAACGTGTATGTCATTGGTCTAAAGAATATTCCTAGAATATTAGAAAGACTTTTGACGTAACCATAACACACATGTTGGTAGCCCTGGGCCATAATCATAAGCAGGCTGGCCAACGTTACGTCATTCACACATATTACACCACTGGTTCTGGTGTTGAGTTACATTCTAAGAATATAAAAGGTACTGAAAACATTTGTCGTGGTCTTTATTAAAATTTAAAACCGGGGATTTTGCATCAGTATAAAAGGCAACATTAAGTTTAGTAACGTAATGTTGAAAGAGTTTTGATAATAAATTACATAATTAAATATGGTAGTTCATGTTCGAAAAACTAATTGGAGTGAAAACCTAGAAAGGAATCTTAGTGAGCGTTCTCTACAACAAAAAGTTGTCTTCGCCTCCAAGATGTACAAACTAGACAACTTCCCATTAGATGAGGGTTTCTGCTACTGGGCTATCTACAGTAGTAGTGAAATCAAAACGCAATGAAATCAGTTCGAAAGTATTTTTATTCAATTGGATTGCATTAATAAGAATCTTAAAAAAGTAACTATAAAAATAGATTTGGAACTATGAAGAGTTTTACCACAAAGAAAACTTTAAAACACAAATGTACATATTTACTTAACATTTTGACCATTAAAACGCATTTAAACACAAATCTTAAACTTACATTGGTAAACAGAAAAAAATAATCGTTGTCATAAACGGAGGTCAGTTATTATTTCTTTGCTAAGAAAATGTGAGTACAGATAATAGCTTTTCAACTGTAACTACAAAATTAACCTTAATGGTGTTTTAAATTTTAAGTGGTTTGTTATTACCAATATTTTAGTCCAGACCCGAAACTTCGTAAGTATTTTTCGATCAGAGATTCGAAATACAAAACAATTCCACTGTAAACTCAAACCAAAACTATTCAACTAATTTAAAAACAAAGAATACGCTTTTCATCTAGCTCTTCATTCTCCAATGTTCATAGTTATGATTTAGCTGAGAGAAAGTCGGTAATAACCATGAATCGCTTAGAATCACTATCCTCATAGAGTTGATAGTAAAACTGTTTCGAAAGAGCTAAGCTGATTGTCGTAAATGTAAACCTGTCGTACTAGATTCAGCGTTCTTTTAAATCTAACCCAAGAGGTGATAAAAGTCAGGTGATAGTAAAGCAATTGATTAACGGTGGAAATGAACGTCGTACAATCATGATATTGATCATATAATACCAGGAGCTCCTGTATCTTGAGTAGGTGATAAATTTTGTCGCTATTGGTCAGTAAAATTGCTGTGCAAGGGAGGGACGATGTACTGAGGTAGGAACAAATATTATTTTAGTAGAAGGAGGTAGGTCTCCATGGAGTCGAAGTAGCCTTTGGTTGATGATTGAGTAGTGATTTTTTTGGAACTAGAGAAAATACTGGCTGACGTGTTGGATACATTGAAAGCAATCTATCTTCGGCGCAAGCTAGAGTTCTACTGAAGAGGAGGATTTTAACTACTATTCCTCTTTATTTTAGTCATGGATTAAATATACTCCCTTAGTAGGTTTTTCATCCTTCCATAAGGATGACAAATCTAACAGTTTTTGGATGGCGAAAGTAACAATAAAATCGTCTTCAGATGGTCCAGCAGTTGATTTCTTTGTTAGTTTTAACCAGTGCCACTAGAAACGTGTTTTTCTGTCCACTTTAATTTTTACAATTTCAGTTATAATCCAGTAAATTTGTATTTAAATGTACCCCTAGCGGGAAAGTTGTGGGGTAGTTTTGATTTTCACATTTTGCATGTTTTTTGGGGTGCCAAATCCGAATCTGAGGTTTGCTCACAATAATTCCTGACGCAACAATGACAAAAATTAGAATAATGTGAGGAAAATTTGATTTTTTGTAGTTTTTGGCTTATAACTTCTAAAATATCAACTTTTTGTAAATAGTATATATTATTAAAACTAAAGTACACACAACATGCTACAATATGTACCCCTTAAGTGTTAATCTCCGATGAACCGTTTAGGCTCTAGAGCTATTTGAAAATTGGACATGTTGTGTTAATTTGAAAATTTCTTATATTCTTCTGTCAATGTCATATATTCATTGTATATGCCCAGGTAAAGGTCTTATACAAATTCGCAGTGTTATAGCTTTGACTATCAATACAACTTCAGTATCCAATAGTCAATAGGTACTTTATAGGTACCATTGTTAAATTTGTTGTTACTGAATAGTTATTTTTTATTTCCAGAATGTTTACATGATCCGTTGCCGTTTAAATTATCAGCTGTTTCAGAGTTGTAAGTTAAAGGGACAGACTCTGACTGCTCTGACACCTTTTAACTTCTTATTTGTAAAAGCAGATTTGTTGTAGCTGAAAGTTTTTCAGGTGTATAAATCGTAAATATTACAAGGAACTTAGACACTTCTAAATTTATTGTCACGTACGTAGCTAAATTAATTAAGAAACCACAATAACGCAGTAATTCTTTACTGTGTCATAGTGTGCTTCTAGCACAGCTATTGATGTAAAATATTCAATTATAGCTATTGAATTATTGTTTTGAAAGATGGCGTACACGAGAGGTTTAACTAAGACATTAACTTCAACTAAAACGGAAGTGACCTTTTGATAATGGCGCCAACTGAATATAATTGCTTTCTTTATTGATGTTCAAGTAATTTGTCATGAAATATTGTTACAATAAAGGATTGTTTATTTCTTAAAGTGCATTTGTAAACACTTTAAGAGGAATAATCACCACTAATGTGGATTCATTGTTGTTTATGAAAACGGCTTTAAAATGTACAGTACATATTTTTTTAGTCAGTCTAATTATTTATAATGACAGTGCTGTAATTAGTATTTTATTTTACCTGGTACCTTATTATGACTACAAAGACGTATCCAATTTTTTTCACCATTGGTTGGCTACAAACCTTTGTTGGTTAGCATATAAACTTAAAACAATATTTCATAGTTTGAAAAGTAAGGAAATAAAACTCATTCTGGATGAATGGAATGGATGAAAAATGTGTTTTGTAGAATCATTTTTTTTCTCACCTGTGAAACATATTCTTTTTCGAGTGTGAAGCCCTACAACATAATGTAGCCTCCAAAACACCGGGCACAATGTTATCGTGTACACCATTAGTGATAGGAACCCGGACGACCATAAATTTGCATGCATAAATGATAAAAATGTATAAATCATAATTATATCCACTGAATTAAAATAGTTATTTTTTAAACTGAAATTGATCACAATTTATCCAGGTAAAAATGCAGGGTACTCGAAAGGTCGTGGTCTAGATCTTGAGCAACAATGGAGGCATATTATGATCAATCTGTTCCACTTGGCAGCGATTGTGTATCCAGCCACCTGTGTGAGGTGCCTTGCCACCAACCTGAGTATGTCGGTAAAGTGATTGCTTTGTTTTGAGTTATTTTATCCATGTTAATCGATGCAACTTATAAAGTCACAAAACTTGACTACAAGTGGTTAAATAATATCTGTAAACGCCATCATTGTGATTCATCAAAACAATTAGGTTTATTTTCCGTGTTGTAGCATAGTTGGGTTTTTCCGTTTCTTACAAGGAAATTACCCAAATCCTAACCTTGTCACTATATAACATTGAAGTTTTGAGGAACCATCATATGGCATCTGGCTCCAGTTTGGACGCCACTCAAAGACGAATTAGCAGCCTTCACGTGTGATAGCAAGTACTATAACGACTAGATCCAGATAAATTCTTTTTTATGACACATTTATTTTTGGTTTGATATTATTTGTTTACCCGTACTCCATTAGTGAACTCTGTACCATAATTTTATGGATGAAATGTCGATAGTTTTTTATTAGCATTTTCTTGAATACCTATCTACCATTATTATGAGTCAGATGTCGTTGTTGATGATTTTATGTATTATGGCTTATAAATATGTACACTACTCTAAAAGAGCGATGTTCACGATCAAAAATTCTTAAAATCTCAGGATATATGTAATACATTGTGGTTCCTTAAAAATTATCAGACGTTGATATAAAATTTTGTAGTGAAGGTGATATTTTGTTTTGAATGTTTTTCTTTTGTTGTTGTTTTTGTTTTGGGTCAGTTGAAGGCTGAGACCACGTGGCTATTGTTGTATCTATTTTAACATCCATTCTATCCTCCAACATCTTATAATATTGGTAAAAACACATACAGTATAACGTTTCGTTAATCTTAATTTTTATTGTGATTTTTACAAATTATCGTTGACTATTTCTTTTTTCGGCTTATCTTTTTATCTTTGAGTAGAAGTGAGATTAATTAAATAAATATATTTCCATTCAGATGAGACGATTTATTTGTAAAACAGTATAGTGAGAAGTTTTTTAAACAAAGTAAATGTAATTAATCATTTTAATAAATGGGAGTAGCTTAGAACTGCGCAACGTACTCCATGTAGCATATACACATTTTAAAAGCTTTTTTTACCAATATAACGACAATAGGTCAACATAAGGAATATGTAATATCGTATTGGTCAGTGATTTAAAGGTGATTTAAAATTCTGAATTAGTAACTCAGATAAGCGTCACCAATCATATTGCAAAGTAATAAACAAAACCTATATTACGATTATTGGTAAATTATGGGGAATATAAGTGATCAATTTGAATTTACAGTCAAAAGAAGCTAGAGAGACTATAAAATAAACGAACAAATGACTTATTGTTTTAATGACTGGCCAAGAAACAGAAAACAAGAAGAAATCAAGCAAAATGAATATTAACAAAACTAAAGATTAAAATTCTGGGAAAAAATAATACAGAAAAAAATAAAACTATAAAATGCACAAAATTCAACCAAAAATATCAAAATTTGTAAGAAATTGAAATAGAACGTTCAAAAAAATTATCTACAATTAATTTTTAATCCAACTGAAAAAAAGTGTTTTGCTTACCTGGGAGAGTTAATCACAAAACACTGAAATGGTTTCACAGACCGGTCACTTGGACATGTTGGCGGAGCAAGAGTCGCGAAGTGACTGAGCGAGTGATCACTTTCACCACCGTAGCAGCTTGCGTCACTGCTACAGATCTGCCAAGGGTCGGTGGAGGTGTGGGTGTGTGGGGACAAAGTGTTGGGGTCAAAGTGAACATGCAGCTATTAAACTATGGTCCAATACAGTACAATGTGTAGGTGTGTGGGGACAAAGTGTTGGGGTCACAAAGTGAACATGCAGCTATAAAACTATGGTCAAATACAGTAGAATGTGTGGGTGTGTGTGTGTGGGGAGAAAGTGTTGGGGTCACAAAGTAAACATGCAACCATGAAACTATGGTCCAATACAGTAGAATGTGTGGGTGTGTGTGTGGACAAAGTGTTGGGTTCACAAAGTGAACATGCAGCTATGAATCTATGGTCCAATACAGTAGAATGTGTGGATGTGTGGGGACAAAGTGTTGGGGTCACAAAGTAAACATGCAGCTATAGAACTACGTTCCAAAACAGTAGAATGTGTTGGTGTGTGGGATCAAAGTGATGGGGCTTTAAGTGAACATGCTACCATAAAACTATGGTCCAATACAGTAGAATGTGTGGGTGTGTGTGGGGACAAAGTGTTGGGTTCACAAAGTGAACATGCAGCTATGAATCTATGGTCCAATACAGTAGAATGTGTGGATGTGTGGGGACAAAGTGTTGGGGTCACAAAGTAAACATGCAGCTATAAAACTACGGCCCAATATAGTAGAATGTGTGGGTGTGTGGGGACAAAGTGTTGGGGTCACAAAGTGAACATGCAGCTATAAAACTATGGCCCAATATAGTAGAATGTGTGGGTGTGTGGGGACAAAGTGTTGGGGTCACAAAGTGAACATGCATCTATGAAACTATGGCCCAATACAGTAGAATGTGTGGGTGTGTGTGGGGACAAAGTGTTGGGGTCACAAAGTGAACATGCATCTATGAAACTATGGCCCAATACAGTAGAATGTGTGGGTGTGTGTGGGGACAAAGTGTTGGGGTCACAAAGTGAACATGCATCTATGAAACTATGGTCCAATACATGGGCATAAAGTGAGCATGCTACCATAAAACTATGGTCCAAAACGGTAAAATGCGAGTGTAGATGTTTGTGTGTACGGGGATAGATGTTTAGAGGAATTGTGAATATCTTACCATTCTAGCTTTCTAACTGAAAAATCTAATATAGGCCCTCAAGTTACAGTCCATTCCTTGTATTATAGATGGAGTCAAAACTTGAAGGAACTCTGTACCCTCAAATCAAGGCAGTATCATCAACCAAATAGCCATTAATGTTTCGTTGGATTTTTACCTAAGATTATTAAGATCGCCCCGGTATGGATCATAAACAACAAATGACGTTTTTGGCCCGAAAGTAAACAAAACCCCTAAACTAAAAGCATTAATTGACATATGGTTTTGTTCATTTTCGGGCAAAAAACATCATTTGTTTATGTTTATGATCCATACCGGGTCTTTTCTTTTCTAGTATTCGTGAGATCGCCTACACCCCACAAGATTCTTCTTTGTTTCGATAGAGAATTTTGTAGTTCATAATTGGTTATTAGTGTTTATGAAAATATCATAGCGTTCTAATTTTGGTTGTATTACAATCTATGGCAACAAAGGGATTTCGGCAGAGTAAGATTTCTAGTACAGAGAAATTTAGTTTCATCTAAGTATCTTTTCTTTTCATGTTCTCTTGATAAGACCTAAGGTTGGCTTTGAACGATCAAATAATGGTACATTAGCGAATAGTGCAATTCGAACCTCGGCTTCCAAGATGTCCCGCACTCTTACAAATACTACTGTCAAACCAGACAGTTTCCTGGTTTGAAAGGAAAATTTGTATTTAACTTATGGTATTGTGAAGAATATAAAACTACCTTAGCTCATGATAGGGAAATCACTGGACAGTTTCCTTTTAGCATTTAAGAATGGAAACTGGACTAAAAGATGGAAATTCTCCTCAAGTAAGATAAACCTAAATCTAATCCCTAATCTGAAATGACTTTCACGCATAATTCACCGTATGACCTTGATTCCCTTTCAGTTCACCGTAGATGTGTCCAACATGTTGTGTGAGCAGTGTGCATTTTAACATGTTCTTCTTAGAATAATTCGATACCGTCAGCGAAAAAGTGTCATAACCCATTCATACCCAAAGAAAGTTCAGACATGTCTTAACATCAAGATTCTAAATAAACATCTCAAAGATCGAAGGAACAGTTGGTTTTAATGGATGGAAGTGACATTTGATATCTCACAGACCTATATAAGATCCCAGCAATGATAGTGAAGAAGAAAGCCAAGGCAAAGAACCTCATGACTGGTGCACGATGTAGAATAAACCAGTATGCCTGGAGACCCGGCAATTTAATATGCTGCAGTTAATAAGGAAATAATTAGTCTACCTCGGTTGACTAATCCTGCACCTAATTGCCCAATGTTTCATCAACATCACTTGTATAACACTTGATTGGTCTGATACTGCTGCTGTGTTGCTTTAATCCCTACTAGGTAATCTACTTTGTCAGTATGTGAGTAATCTTTTCATTAACGTGAGGAAATACGCTTTGACATTTTGCAGGAAATAAGTAAAAAGATTCTTAAAATTAAAATTAATAGTAATTGACTAAGACAAGCTCATGTTAAAGTACATGGCACGAGAATTGGTTAATATAACTGGTACACAACGTTGTCAATAACTAGTTAACTAAGATTGGAATTTTTAAGTTTTAAAAGCACTAAAAGCATTAATTTCCCTGGAATAATGTTTCAAATAAATTTCCATTTCATCAAACCTATTTTGTTAAAACTGTTTTCCCAAGTATTTGCTTAATTTCACGTCACACTTATTGATGATGAATCTAAAACGTGGACGTTAAACACATGAATACTTCAGGACCATTAACAATCGTGGGGGGGCGTAACTGCGACCATTGATTCAAGAAAGTAGTTATTCAGTCATCAATTATTTATACTGTGTTGCATACAGCTATCACTCCTAATAGATAAAACCACGCCGCAGCAAACCTGCAGACTAAGCGAATTCTATTTGCCTAATTGAATTTTCACTGAAATAATATATCAATAAATTTTTTTATTTATTCTCAATTTAAGTAACATTATAAACAAATTGAGAAAGCTTATGTTTTAGGGTAAAAATGGGGAAACCCTTTTTACACCCCATAAAAACCCCCATAAACCCCCATTCCCGTTGTCCGGTCATGCTGGTTCGTGAACTCGTTTGTAGGTTTACATGTTATACAGAATTTCTTCAAAATCGGATAATTTTTGCTCGAGTTATCACAGAGTTACATCATCGAGTCTTCTGCTAAGTACACATATATATGTGTGAATTTTAACGAATTGTGTTTTTAGCTTCTGGCCTCCATGTCTTGTCCGGTTCCGGATCCATGTGTAAGACCTATGATAATAGCTTATTCCCTATTTAGAAAGTTCGCTAAAAGAATACATAGCCTACATAAATTATAATAAACACATAAAGTAAAGATGATATAAGATTTCCTAACACAAAACCATTGGGCTGCAATAACATGAACTGGTTCACAGAATGGTTTATTTTACGTAGTATACTTTCTTCGTCTTCGTAGTCGCGGAAGTAATTTTAGGTTGTAATCTTGTGGTACGAAGCAATTCAGTTTTGATTTTGGTTCTAGTTCTCTCTTAACGAAAATCTAACATCTTACACGCCTTTTATGGCACAGCGAAAGAATTACGTGATTACGCTGGGTAGAAAACCGGTCAAAACCCACAAGCTGACCGGTGTGGTTTAGATATACAATTCCGGATTATAATTTTGACAGATATGATGAAAAATAATATAAAACTACTGTTAGAAATGGTAAATATTACAGAAAAAATATCCGGGGGAAGTCAATACCGAAAGGAATTTTAATATCGATGGTAAAGAAAAAAACTTTCCCAAGCTAAGAAAAAAAAGAGTCACGGTGATTGGATCAACAGTTTTTAATTTAAAAAGGACATAGACCAGAGGCCTACATGCAAAGCAAAGGTTGACAAGACTCAAGATTAAAGTGTACAGTTTGGAGGGGATTTCAACCCTGATAACATCTTCTGTTGTATCATTGTGTTTGTTGATATTTGCATGTTTATATCTGTAACCTCTACTACACAAGTCCGTTCGCCGGTAGAAGGCACCTCCCAGACCTCCAATACAGGATATCATTTACCTTGTCCTTGATCTCAATCCTGGCCAAGCGTTGTCTGGTAATTTAATGACTCCAGTCAATCACTTTGTTTACTTAATGTTGGTACAAATGTTAACAAAAATCAGATAAACAATGAATGAAAATAGCGTAAGTGATCTGTGTAGCTTTGTCAGGTAAGTTAAGCTATTTCTGTAGCCAATACCACTAACAACCCACAACCCTACTGACTGCTGGATACAGTTTCATACCATCAAACAGCAACCCACTTGCATCAGGACAGAACTGAGTTCATTCTAATTACTAGAGCAGTACCTAAGTCAATTTCTGTGTTAGCAATTTCGTAGTAAAAAACTTATTTAAAGTTTGATAAATGATCCCGGTCAAGTAACAGATGTCCTAGTTTAAATATCTGATCCTATTGATTCTTCTCTACTCCTTCATTCATCATCGTTATTAACTAGGTACCCTGCTGAGGCGGTGACGTAACTAGTAATTAATGAATAGTAGTAGTAGTAATGAATGAATCCACGAAGGTATATTTGTGGAGTTTTTAAGAAATCACACCAAACTACTTCAGTCGGGGCCTTCATTTGGTTTGTTGTAAAAGTAAACACCTATGAATTTAAAATGAAGTATACTTTTTGTAAATATGCAATATTGCATTGTTGGTTGAAACGCGTGGAAATCGACCTTAACACAGTGAATGGTGGATTATGTCCAGACAACTGTGAAACATGTCGTCAGTTGTCGCGCTTTAACTGATTTTAATGTTGTGGTTGTTTTTTAATAATATTTAGGATTGAATCTTTTTCATTTTTATTGTATATTTAAATAACAACGCTTAATAATTTCATTAGTAAAGAAATTAAAAAC